ATTCTATTCTATTCTATTCTATTCTATTCTATTCTATGTTCTATTCTATTCTATTCTATTCTATTCTATTCTATTCTATAAGTGTGAAAAATGGTCCTCTGTCCCGTTTTCTTCAGAGCCCTTGTTTAACTTCCAGGTCACTTAAACGGACTGTCGTAAGTCAAGGTCTTGCCGCACGGCCCCGCAGGATGAATAGGGAGGAAAATTGTGAGACGGAGTAGCCTACGCTGCTTTGAAAAAAGAATATGGTATAGAAAAAAAGACATTAGGAATAGGCACGACAGCCGAGGCGGGTGGGCGGGTGTGTGTTTTATATGTGGCTGCGAAATTAGATGTCGGAGTAATAGCATCCAAGGCATCTGGGATCGCTTAGATTGATTCCCTGAAATGGATTCTGTGATTCTTCTACAATTTCCTTTCCTTCGGTGTGTTCTTTTGTGTGAAACGGCCCCCTTGCAATGTTATCATTCGGTGAGCCGCGCAGTTATTGTTGGAGGCCAGGGCGTTTTAGAATCGGAATCGAGCCGGAAGGAGCTTCAGAGGTCCTCTAGCCCAGCCCCGTGCTTGAGTAGGAGACCTTAGAAGGGGTAGGAGGAGAGACCTTTTGGCGGGCGCAGGAGCCGTCATTCCGGCTTAGCTCCACCATGCATCCGCGCGCACACCTCCTGCCGGCCAGCTGATTTTGGGGTCTCTGTTGCGCATGCACGGTGGGGGGCGCATGTGAGAGACAGGGGAGCGTATGTGTGTGTGTGCGCAGTGCCCCTCCCCCAGCGCTCCCCATTTTGGGCCTAGTAGGCCTCTCTGCAGCCTCCTGGGAGCAAAAACGGGCCTCGGGGGGGGCGTGCCATTACCCCCTTCCCCCGCGCCTAGTTTTTGCTCCCAAGAGGCTGCAGAGAGGCCTACTAGGCCCAAAACAGCGTGTCTGTGCGTGTGTGTGTAAGTGTGTGTGTGTGGCGCCCTCCCCAGCCCAATTTTGCTCTCAGGAGGCTGCAGGGAGGCCTACTAGGCCCAAAATGGGGCGCAGGAGGATCACGCATGCACGCGCAAGGGGAGCGAGGCGGTGGTGGTCGCACACGCATTGTGCTGGAGGCGGGTCAAGCGGGAGGGGGGTGGTCACGTGCGCATTGCATTAGGGGTGCAGGCGTGCAAGCGTGCTGTCACGCGCACGCACGCACACACACACACACACTTTTGACACACGACGACCCAAAGGTTAGCCGTCACTTGGCCTAGATCCATTCAGGCAAGTGACTGTCCGGTCTCTTCTTCCAGGGATGGAGCATCTACAGCTTTCGAATAGTCCTTAAGTAAACCGTTGTAAGTCAAGGGCTGCCTGTACCAAAAAACACAAACTTTGCTTAAACCAGCATGGCTGGCTGGGGGAATTCTGGGAGTTGGTCCACACGTCTGCAAGCAAGCAAGCAAGCAAGCAAGCAAGCAAGCAAACAAGGAAGCAAGCAAGGCTGTTGTTCTGACCAAGCTCCCCAAAGATAACAACCCCCTGTAGTTGAAGCAATGATTCCTTTATTAGGAGCGCTGGCAGCTCTGACAAAGAGTTTTTCTCTCACTGCAGGCTAACAAGTCTGTCTGGCAGGGAGATTCATGGTTGTCTGTCACACCTATTCATCTCTGCCCCCTGCTTTTTATCTCCAGAGCTCGGGGGGTGTTCTTCAGTGGCTCTTCCATTCCAGGGACCGGCCCATAGATTTCCACTGCTCTCCTCTCTTCTGCCTTCTGCGCATCTGCGTGCCAGGCACTGTACCCAGCGTTCCTCCTCTTCCTCACCCGCCACCTGCAGACCTGGGGGTTATCGACTCTCCATCTGATGGCTGACGGACGGCCCAGGTTCTGCCTCTCTCCCTCCCCTCCTTCCCTCCCTCCCTCCCCTCCCCTCCCTCCCTCTCTGCCAGCTCTATTCCCTCTTCCCCCTTGGAGTTCCCAGGTTGCCTTATGCTGGCCCTGACTCTCACACTGCCTCTTCCTCCTCTGATTCGGCTGCTGGAGGGGCCCGGCGGCCAACAGGCCACAACAGCTCGCCGAGGGGATTCTGGGAGTTGAAGTCCATAAGTCTCACCATTGCCAAGGTTGGACGCTGCCCCCTGCTTTAAGCATTAGTATGCGGCTACCCAAATCTATCCCTCAACAGGTGTCTTCTTGAGAGCATCTTTTTCAGATTAGCCAATTCTGTTAAAAGACACCAGCTTGGGTGAGCTAAGGTTGTTTAATCCGACGATCGGCTGCTTCACCAAGTGCTGGAAGGCTGAGAAAATAAACAGCATCCCGAAAGATCCACCTGTTCAAGTACTGAAGTTTGCAGATGGTACAGCTGTGATTGGTCTCAATCAAGA